AGTACCTTCCAGATTAAGTCTCTCATTCCTGGTTTTCCCAACCAAAGCTTAAATAACCATTCCCTCATTTCTCGTTGCCCTATGCAATTGCCTGAGCTCCAAGGAGAGTTGTAGTGATCTCTCTCTTTGTCCAGATACACGGCTAAGAAATTGACATCATAAGAAAAACCCTGGTAACTTCTTTTTTGTAAATTATGGTCATTATAGGCACCATTCCTCATACTTCCACTTCTTTGATTTTCTACAGGTTCGAGAGTTCTGACTCTTTTCTCTTTCCTAGTCAGATCTGAGAAACTAGAATCATCTCTATCATATAGTATATTATTTGTGGCATCCTCATAATTGCCTTTTTCATGTGCAAGTAATCCAGCACGGCAAACTCCCTTATGACGATACCCAGGTGTCATATCCAAACACACAAACTCAAAGTTTTTGGGATTGACAAAGTTTTGAGTAACAGCAATACTTGGTTCCAGATTTAGGACGCAGTGCCACCATCCACTTGGAACGAAAATTGTTTCCCCTGGCAGTTGCGTACACTCTATTGGCTTGTCTTCATCAGCAAGAAGTGGATAAAAATCTAGCCACCACTGAAACACAATAAAAGGAAACAATAATAACAACTTAACACTCACAATAAAAAAATATGAAAAACCAGAGGATTGGATATATCTGAAAAAAATACCTGCAGTGAAGATGGAGTTTCAATATTGACATCACCATCTTCTTCGTTTACATGTACTGTGACACCTAGAGGTACCTTTCCTGGAGGATACAGGGCCCACCTTCACAAACATAATAGCTGGGTTACCTCCTAGACCTAAATTATTTAATTGCAAACAGTCCCAAAAAAGAAAACAAAAAATATGAGAACAACATTATTCAGCCAATTCAACAAAAGGGAAATGATGTATGGTGGAATAATCATGAGGGCAGAAAGTATGTGGTTTATGGAATGCATTAGATGAATATTTTGATGATATTCCTTAGTCTTTCTTGGTCAGCCGTATCCTCATGCTTTAGGCATAAGATCAGGACCTATCCATTAACGATCAGATTAAGGAGAACTTGGGAGGAGTTGGGAAGACAAAAAGAATAAAGAAAATATCAGTAAACCAAATCCAACCTGGACTACAGAGGAGCACAAATGAGACTATAATTGGTACAAAATTTAGAAACAGCAGCAGAACAAACATAGTATTCATAAAATGCAACAGTTTTATCAACCCCAGGTCCTCAACTAGCACAAGCATAAGCTGTACCTCTTAACTAAATCATAGAATGGATTCCATTAACAGTATCATATTCTTAACTACATGAGCTCTTGAGAAAAAAAATGAACTTTACCTCTTACGTCCGACTAGTAGCGTATTCCAGGCACTGGTAAGAGCTGGATCAACATGCCAAGAGGCACCAGACCTCTGTGGCCCAATAATGAGCCATCTAAATGGAGGTCGCTTCTCTCTATCTAAAACATCAAAAAAGTCCTCTTGAAATAGATCAGGTATACTGTAATCTTTCAACAGGGCCGGAACAACCTCTCCAAACTGCTTTTAAAAAAAAAGTTACATTGCACATCATAAGAATAAAAAGAAAAATCATACAAATATGTACTCACACAGACACACAGACCCATTGAGCACCTTGTGATCGAAAATATACAGGGGATCCTCATCATGCTGAATTTTCAAGTATGCAACATAATCTTTGAATTTCATTGAGACTTTGCGTGCACTCCTTTGCGAAATCTTGAAACCTATATCTCCATAATTCTGCAATAACTGGTCAAATGTCCATGTACGCCTTGCAGGCCAAGCATCAGCCAATCCAGTGAGTAAAACCTGGTTAATTTTTTGGCAGCAAACTATGTGAATAACATAAACCACCAGTCCGTATATACAAGCATAACTGCACACTAATCTTGATTACCGATTTGCAACTAAAAATGCTCAATAGTACAAGAACCTCTACTAAGTCAAATTTTGGCATATGGAAAGGTCAAATTTGGTAAAACCCCAGGTTTTCATCTCCTGTTTCCCTTTTTTTCTCCCAGAATAAAATAAATACCATAGAGAACACTAGTCAAATGGTGACTACAATCAAAATGTGAAACTTTTTGGTTCTATCTGTAGTTTAAACCTGCTTTGGAAAAACAAATAGCTAGTCACGACATGCTAGAATTTGCAAAATTGGAGATGAAAGCTTGGTAGTACACTTTAGGTCATTGGGGGAGTGTGGAAATTTGAAGCTGTGAAATCAGAAGCATGGCCAAAGCGGGCATAAAGGTACTGGTGATTTAAGGATTAAAGGGGGTTTATTGGTTCGTTTTCCAACAGACGTGGTAGGCTGTGGTAGTGAATAGTGACAGCTGGGGTTGTGTTTAGTAAAGTGTTACTGGTAATGATGCCGATGGGACGGTAACAGAAAGGTGCTAATGTTGGTGCTGCGTTACTGGTGATGATGCCGAGGGGATGGTAATGGAGGGTGTGTTGTGGTTGAATTAGCAGCAGGGGTGGTACGTTGTGGAAAAGTGTTAATTGAGTGGTGGCAGTGGTGAAGATATGAAAAAAGCATTCTTGAAATTGGAAAAGAAACTATCTTTGATTTGTTCTGTGATATGTCATCAGTCTCTAAAAACTTAAAACACATTTGTGGGTCAAGATCCAACTCCTATATGTCCAAGCGGGCCCAATGAAAGAGCATCCTTCTCTCTAATGTAAAACCATAATTTAACAGAAGATTGTGTCTGCATATAATCAATGGGAGGAAGATGGAAATCTTAATCCCACTGTGTTAATTCAAAAATGAATCATCATCACTATACCGGTTTCTTCCCATCATAGTCACGAGAAAACTCTTCCAAAGTGGGGTTTTTCTTTCTTTCCACATTCCCATCGTCAAAAGAAAAACTATCCAATGTGGTATGGCACCTGTAAAATCTTCTGTACAAGAACAACGAGTTGAATCCTGCAGCAAGTGGATAGGCAATAACTAAAACCTTCAGTGGGGAAATAAATAAATAAATGAAATATACTCAAAGAAGATTTTGCACCATCATAAAATAACAAGAGCCTCCGGAAGGTGAGCTCTATTCAAAATACATGATATCAATTACCATCAAAATTAAGTGGTTTTCTGCAAGCCTCGTCACATTCATATGGTACATGCTCTCTGCATTCAAAAATACAAAACCGTGGTCTCAAATTCCGAAAACTTAATGTAGAGTTAGAAAGCAGAAAAAAAGCATAATTTATACTCTGATACATACAAATGCAGTGCCGTCTTTTTCCAGGAACCTTTATACTGAAGTGGACCATCTAGTCTGCTAAGGCATATACTCATCCAAAGCGGCTCTTCATTGCATAGTATGTACATCACACTGCATACCAAAGAGCAGCAAATACATAAGTAACAGGAAAAATGAAATCTTTGGCCTTGTATGGAAAAAATGAAATTTAATCCAAAACTAAAATCTAAATTTATGAGCATCTCCATAAGATTCTGCAATTGAACCAATGACCAAAATGCTAACTTTGAATCAGAATACAAACATTTCGCGTAGAAACACGTATCGAAATCCCAAAATTCAAAATTCAAAATTCAAATGGGAAAGTGAGAGCTAAAGAGAAAAAAACAAAGGCGGTGGATTGAAGAACCTGCTAACGGAAGCGAGACGAGCAACGTCGCGAGGGGTCAGGTATTCCAAGATGTCACAGATGAGGTCGTCAGGGAGGACTCGGAAGTCTCCGAGAGCATCTGACCTGCGATCTCTGAGACCCAACGCAGGGGCTTCAGAATTCTCCATTGCAATTGGAATTGATAGAAAGCTGTATGTTGTGAAATTGTGAGTATGAAAATGCAAGAAGAGAAGAGAAGAGAGAGAGGGAGAGGCGAGGGCTTTGGGTTTTTGCAATCGGATTTGCCGCGTCGATGTAACGTGTTTTTTGTGCAGCGGCTATACCGTGTACGCGGAATTTTCACGCTATTTCGAATTTTCCTTTTTTTGGGTTTTTTGGTGGAGAGGTGGACCAAATATTCGCGCTATACGGTGTTTTAAAGAAAAGCGCGAATATAGCAGCTATTATTCTCTTCTTTCTTCTTGAATTTTTTTTGCTCATTATCCTCTTGAAAAAATTCCGAAATTTATTTTTCTCTGTTCTCATTAATTATTTTCGTACCTTTACACCTTTAGAAAATAAATTAAAAGGTTAATGATTAAAAAGTCCCCTTTCATATATTGAATTGTTTAATTTAACATAGGCAATTGAAGATATATCTCTTTCGAGGGTTCGAACTTAATATCATGGTCTGCAAGTCAATATCATTTTTTCATTGGACTAGACCATGTTGGCATTCTCTTCCAGTTTAGGGAACTGAAAAATGTGATATTTTTGCTTGTCTTGCCACAATCAACATTTTCATCTCTGAACTATCTAACAACATCAAATTTTTCACATTTTTGTAAAGCTAATATGGTGTGTGACGCGTTGCCTTCTTATGTGACAAAGGTATAACTTGTCTCATCCTCTATCGTGTGACAACTAAAGGAAATATCAGGCCAGTTTCACGATGAATTTCCATGGACCTGCCCCATTCAAGACTCTTTCCAGTTTTCATTCGCTGAGCAGTTCCTCTCATCTCTAACCCCAATAATAAAAAAACATGTCCTCTCATTGATACGAAGAACAAAACCCATCTTTTGTCCCCCATATCTCATAGAGAGAAAACAAAACCCATCAATTCTGACCCAAAGACACTCAACTTCAACTCGAGTACTCAAACAAATTTGGGCTGACAGATTGATTTGAAGCCCTACCAAATCCAAGGTTCATAAACTTTGTGGACTTCTTCTTTATTCAACCTTTTTTTTTTTTGGTCGAAGTTATTTATTCAACTTGGTCCACCTATTATGTCCTCCAATATGAATTTTAAAACAATAATATTATTCACATCACATTGAAAGAACATTAAATATTAACGCACCAAAATTGGACGCATTATCCAGTAAACGTTTCAATTTATTTCTGTTTCCGTTGAAAGCCTCAAAGCATCACTTCCAGTATACAGATACAACACGCATCATAAATTTAACTCTAAAGACGGTGACATATTACACAGCCACTAATAACTTTAAAAGAAAAAAAAAGAAAAAAAAAGAATAACAACCACAATGTTTAAAGCCTTAAACAATTCTACAGACCTAACGAGGTGACGGAGCTCTGTGACTTGATCCTTCTTCTTCTAAGGCGTTCGGCGATGATGAAGGCAAGCTCGAGAGATTGTGAGGCATTGAGCCTTGGGTCACAGTGAGTATGGTAGCGTGAGCTAAGGTCATCAAATGTCACAGTGCGCGACCCTCCAATGCATTCTGTCACATTCTGGCCTGTCATCTCTAGATGAACACCTCCTGGGTGGCTTCCTTCTTGCTCATGCACATCAAAGAATGCTCTCACCTCGGCCTGGACAGATAACAAATAATAAAGTTTTGGTACAGATGAGACATCCCTTTTAATTAAATATTTCTAATTCGCACGAATAAACAGATATACTCATATACAATGTCCAACCAACCACAGAAAACAACTCATGTAAAGCAATATCCAACCTACCAAAGTAATAATTATAAACAAGAAGTCATCAAGGAAAGCATTGTGCAAAAGAGGACTTTTTTGGTTTCTTGCTAAGAAAATGAGTAGCTTGTGACGCAAGATCGATTCCAAGTCGATTTCAAAACAATCATTTACCTATCAGATTTTTCCTTTTAAAACATTCCACCAATATTTTCCCCCTTTTTCTCCAACCCCCACCCAAAAAAAAAAAAAAAATCTTACAACTGTTATACCTAACGTCTACAAGTCCTTCCCACCTAATATACCAGAATCTTGCACCTTCTTACGAGTCAATTGCTAGAAGATGAGGATGTCTTTCTTTAAAGATACAGAATGCCCACCAAACGGGACACTTGATGGCTGCCCCCACCCCAAACAAACTTCTAAATTGTTCAACAATATCGACTGTGAAGACCAGAAATTTGGCCTTGTCTTAATTGCAAAAACTGGTGGATGACTAGATCCATTAAGTGAAGAAGCCAATAGCAAATGGTGATAAAATATTGTCGTTCAGTGGGTTCTCATGATTCAAGAAAGCTAAATTAAAATACGGAAAGCACCATGACTACAAGCATTTGATTAGGCAAAGTGCAAGAAAAATCAAAGTTATTTTGTGTTCACATGGCTGCTAAGCTTTCAACAAAATCATTTATTATTTACTCTATTAGTTGCACTGAACCAACTTAGCCTTTATATTTATTATCACATCAACTAAGACAGCTTAATTTATTTTTTCTACTTGTTCCCTTTTTCCTATTTCTTGTTATACTTCATTTTCATCCTAAAATGCCTATAATTCTTGTTTTGTGTTATATGTTCCTCCATGTGTTTCAAATGGCCAATGTTCTGCAGTATAAAGAAACAAGTGACAAGCATATGATTTGAATTCCAAAGAATAACCTTTGCCCACAAACCGGCAACATGAGAACAGTAAAGCTAACAGTTGAACAAAGCAAAAAAGGAAAAAGATAAGAATCGTACCCTTATGGCGTCAAAAGGGCGTGTTTTGAGGCCACATGGAGCTTTTATGGTGTTTCCATGCATTGGGTCACTAACCCATGTGACAATCTGTCCTGCCCTGCGGACCGCCCTAATAAGATGAGGAAGTTTCACTCTCATGTTCTCAGCTCCCATTCTTGTGATCACCGTTATCCTACCGGCTTTATTCTGAGGATTCAAAATCTCAATGAGCTTAACAAGCTCATTTGGATCCATCTTATCGCTCACCTGCATCACAAAGAGCGATCCTATATTAGTCTCCTCCACGATAATTAAATTCCATAAGAATGTCATGCACATTAAAGTACAAACTGCGTCAAAATCACGTAGTAGTCAAAAGTGAAGTTCGACAAAACATGATTCATTTCAATTTAGTTTATTATTACAAACTTGAACCTCATATAAGAGCCATTGCTCCATTTAGACATAGCAATATCATTTTTCTGTAATCTTAGCAACATATGGAAAGATGATTTGATTGAACTGGACATATGCACCATATGAGATATGAATTACCTTGATTCCAAGGGGATTGGCAACACCTCTTAGGAACTCAACATGGGCACCATCCAGTTGCCTGGTACGCTCACCAGCCCAAAGCATATGGGCAGAGCAATCATAGTAAAGGCCGGAAGTTGAATCCAACCTTGTAAGAGACTGCTCATAAGGCAAGAGCAAGCACTCATGAGATGTCCAGAACTCAGTGGTTGTCATGATAGGGTGGTCAACTGTAAGCCCAGCTGCAGTCATGAATCCAAGGGCCTCATCAACCCGGGAAGCTAGTTCCCGGTATCTGCCATGCCAAAACAGGATAAACATGTTATTAGGTAAAATTATTACCAACCCTAATTAAATTAAAATTCAAAGTTTGGTACACTTAAAGTCATATCAATATACATTCCAATTGAATGAATACCAAACCTAACCAAATTGAAATTAGAAGCTTGGCACACTTCAAATCATGTGAATATGATTCCAACAATTTTTTGAAAAACAACTTGCAATGAGTCATTACCGCCTCAAAAGGAATGTGATTTTGGATTATTTGAAGGAACAAACCAAAACACCATCGAGTAAGGTTAAGGTTAAGTATCCATCACTATAAACACACGCACTAAAAGATTACTCAGTGTGGCCCGAAAATTCATTGGCGAAAAGCAGACTAAGATTCTGCATGTGCATAAATCTTTGCGGGGCATAGCACAAAAGACATAAAAAGGTTAAAAGGTCTTTACACATCTAAAGGACGAATATACTGAGTATATGAAATGAAACAAACAGACAGGCAAGGCAATGATAATGATTTGAGGGTATATATGGGATAAACATCAAACTCAGACCAAATTAAAATTACTTTCTCGTAAATAAGTCTTTCGCTTGTGAAATCCAAGTTCCACTGTCACCAATCTAAAATAGTAAAACTGAGGAAACATACCTATCACCCTGCTCGCTGTGCTCTGTGAAATCCAAGTTCCACTGTGTGACCCTCTGCATAGCTGCATAACCACCAGTAGCGAAGGCCCTGAGAAGGTTGAGAGTAGCCGCAGATTGACAGTAGGCTCTGATCAGTCTCTGAGGGTCCGGAGTCCTCGACTTTAAATCGAACGCGTCTCCGTTCACATTGTCCCCTCTGTAACTCGGCAGCTTCACACCATCCTTCTCCTCAAAAGCATCCGATCTTGGCTTCGCAAACTGACCCGCCATTCTTCCCACCTAAAAAACCAACCACGACCACAATCCACTTTAATTCTCAAAACTATACACAAATTAATCAAATTCCAATCAAAAAAACAACGAACCCAGAAAAGAAAAAAAAACCAATCATGACCCTGATTCATAATTCCCTTCAATTCCCAAACTTTCACAGAAATTACTCAACTTTCAAGCAAAAACAAATTACCCAGAAACTTTCATATAATTTAGAGGAAATTCCTGACCTTGACAACGGGCATTTGGCCTCCGAACATCAAAACGACACCCATTTGGAGGAGAATTCTGAAGGTGTCACGAATGTTATTGGCGTTGAACTCCTTGAAGCTCTCAGCGCAGTCCCCACCTTGAAGAAGAAACGCGTTGCCCATGGCGGCCTCACCAATACGCTCCTCTAGGCTCCGAGCCTCCCCAGCGAACACAATAGGAGGGAACGATTCGATGGTCCGAAGCACCGACTCGAGATCTTCCTGATTTGGGTAGTCGGGCAATTGGAGCGCCTTCTTGGATTTCCAGGTCTCCACGCTCCATTTCGCCGGAACTGCATTGTGGGTCTTCACCGAAGAAGAAGGAGACGATGTCGTTGGAGCACTTTGCTGCTTAGTTGGCTTATCGGAGACAACTGGGTTCTTGGCAGGCTCAGCTGCATGAACGGCCACGATTGGCCTGACGGGCCTGATGGGCAGAGAGGGTTGGTGAGTTCTCGGAGAGGGTAAGAGAGACTGGCCTTGAATGAAGGCAGATTTGGTGGGAATCAAAGAGCTGCTGCTTGTGAGAGCCATTGTTATTGGATTTTGTAAAGATTTTTCTCTTCTTTATTTTTATGTTAAAGGTACAAATGAGATCGCAGAGAGAAATCTCAGAGAGTACCTGAGGAAGATGAGTTACAGATTGAGAGGGTTTTATAAGGAAACAGGGTGTCTTCGCAGAGACGCGGTGGTGGGCCGTTGAGGCCAGAGTGTGGGTAGTTTTGGGGTTCTCTTGGTATCGAAGGACAGTTTTGTAATTTCAATTGTCAACAATTTTGGAAAGAAAGTCAATTGCTTGGAATGAGTTGATATCTTTGCAAAGGGTAGGTGGTGGTGAAACGAGGGTGGGTAATGATATGATTAAGAGGCTGCGTAGGCCGTGGGAGCCGAGCTGAATTTTATTTTATTATATTTTTTCTTCGGTCCATCTGAATTATTATACGCTTAACAAAACAAAAATATGAGTTATAATATGTTCTATTATTACAAATGTGGAAAATGCTGCAGCACTAATCACATGGGTGGTTCCGAGATTAAAATGTGAGCATTGGAACAAGATGATTTATACCCTTTTTTTGGTCGAAAAAGGTTTAGGGGGAGAATGACTACTGTCATTATCAGCTTTAGGGCAGACACACAATCTCTAGTCGAAATGACTTATGCGTGGCACCCAACTATCAGCTATCATCGATATGAATTAATGTATGAAATTACAGATTGTGCACCAGACTGTTCATAGCGAAACTCGAACACTAATGGGGCTACACACAATGCAGATACCTTATTAACTAAACCAACCCACATTGACGTATAATTTATACCTTTTATATTTGAATCTTTGGACAAACAAAGCAAACACTTGGATATACTCAAAAAATTGTACCTTATGTTTAAATGAGTTTATCTTCAAGAATACTATGATAAGTAGTGGGAGATCCATAAAATTATATTTAGAGAATGCAATTAACTAGATATCAATAATTTTAGCATTTATAAAAAAAAATAATTTAAAGATGTTTCATTTTCTTTATTTTAAAATAAAATATAAATGATAAATTAATAGGAACTTTTTTGTTGCATTGGTAATCCACTCCACTAACTCCAAATCACGAGATCACATCATGTTAGAAATAAAATAATAATTTGTGTTGTAGTAGAGTCGATTTTTGAGTATTTAATACATGCACTTTCGGTGTAACTTATTTAAAAAAAATTATAAATCAGAGTTCTTGTAGATAGTAGCAACAAAGTGTGGTTCATGTTTAAACCACGCTTTGCATTTCAGGTTTTTTATTTATAACAAAGCACGTTTATATTTCAGAACCAAAAAAAAAAACCCCACATTTTTATCTCATGTAGAAGAAAAACAATATATATATAAAGAGCAAATGATAAGCCAAGCCAAGCCGAGCCGAGCTAATCAACGTATGGCTGCTTGGCAGAATTTAGTTCTATACCACCTGGTTTATTTGGTGTTACAAGAAAAATAAAATTCTACAAAATGGAAATAAAATAAAGTTTGTTCAAATGGACTGAAGAAAATGAAGGGGCATGTATGTATGTCCAACTCACCCACCTACCCTCCACTTCATGCGCCACCAACTCTCCCTCTGTCTCTCTCTCTCCTACCCCCATTACACCACCTCTTTACGCTCGACACGTGTCCTTCAACTTGGCACCATGACTTGGTATATTCCCATGGCTTCCCTAGCAAAGTTTGCATCAAATTCTGGATGTTTGGCTTTGGGAGATAGCCTGACTATAGAGAGGTCCGGTCGGTGTTATTGATCACATGTGGCCGATCTCACCCAGCTTGCGTCTCTAAATGGTCTGCATTTGGAAATCTTCAAAATAAGCCCAAATTGACTTCTAAATTTCTAACGATTTAATTTAATTGTACTCGTGTCAAATATCACCTTACCACATGTTTTTAACAACGTCATACTTTCCTCATGTACTTTTATTATGAATTTTAGGTTGTCTTGTTATTCCTTAGAGCACCTCCACCCCAAAAGGCAAGGACAACGTAAAGGTAAGGCAAGGTTTGATACTATTCACATAAATAGTGGCAACCTTGTCTTTTTTTGTTCTACCCTAAAGGGTAAGGGCAAGGGCAAATACTATTCACTTTACTTTATTTTTTATTTTTTATATACTTAAACTATTAATTTTGATAAGCTTTTCAAATAATATTTTCATTTATCACATGTCACTATTTATTATAAATTTCTCACTTAAAATTTTCGGATAACATTTCCGGTTGCCACTTGTCCATTTTTATTATAAAATTCACATCTCACTCATCATACAATTGAAATACCTACTCACTCATCATACAATTGAAATACTCCCGGTCCTCATAGTTCGACATAATCGAGTACAAAGACGACTCAATCATTAGCGGAGGCAGTTCCACCGGATCACAACGTGGGGGAGTATTTTCCTTCGGATGACGTAATAGTGTCATTATTTCCAACACAGAACGCACCACTATAACCGATTGCGGGCATTGTTCACTTGAGGAGCCATGTGTAATGGTTTTCCTCTTTTTTGTTTTGCCTTAAATAATCTATTTTAAAAAATGAAATTGGAATTGCAATAAATATATACATACATATATATATATATATGACATTAAATTGAATAAAACGGCAGTTGAATAAATCAATTTTTTTTAGCCAAAAAAATCAAGTCCGTTGGATTTCTGGACAAAAACCGATCGGAGCATCCAGGAAGCGCCACGTGGTGTCTTCTCGTTGGGAGCTGTCAGCGACTTCGGGCTAGAGCCTAGTCAAGAATTGCCCTTGGGCTTGCCCGAGTTAGTGGGCCCCAGGGCTTGCCCGAGCTTCAGGTTGCGCGCTGGAGGTGGGAACCTGGGCTTGGGGGGCCTGTTGCCAGGGTTTGGGTCTAGCGATGGAGTTGCTCTTGCATCGTCTCATTTTACCCCTTTGCATTGTGTTGTCAATTTTTCTCTGTCATAACCAACTGACTTAACTTATATCTCTACAAATTACAATTTGATATACATGAATAGACAAATCATTGAAAATATAAATAATAAAGAAAAATTCATATGAACATGTGAAACTATTATTTGTATGTACTATGTAGAAAGGTTGTCTTAATTTTGATGTTAAACTGCTCCATTATTGTAATGGCTCTTATGTTAAGTGTTAGTTTTGTGTTGTTAAGTATTAGTTTCTGTTGTTGCTTAGCCAATAAGCACTATATTAGGAAGCTTTCAGTTCAATTAGTTTTCAGACTTGCACAATCATTCTAAAAAACCATCAATTAAATTTCTGATTTTTTGAACATTGAGTTAAGGTTGAAGACGTTTTATCATTTGGTAATCTCAAAGACTGTTTTTGGTCTTTTTTTTTATTGTGCTAAGGTGACACTTATTTAATGGTTTTGTCGTAGGTTTGTTAATTAATAGGAATTTATGTTAAGTGTTTGTTTATACCAAAATAGACAGCCAACAAGAACAAGACACGTGGACAAAATCGAGCTTGGTCATGGTTTCCTTCGGCACCTAACCTACCAATCCTTCCAGTAGGGCAACCCCCTCTCCAGGACACGTGGCATGCTCATAATCAACATCCACAGTCCCACATCGAAATTCTAAACAATATGCACACCTCCCAAGGTCTATAAAAGAGGACAACCATCCCAAAATGGAGGTAATCAGAACTAACGGCATACCAGCCTAACGATCTGTCAGTTTAATTTACTAAATCCGAACTTACTCAAGCATCGGAGAGCCTTCGCCCGGTACCACACCTGTGCCCTAGGTATTACCGAGCGTTTTCTCATATTGCATATCACACGCTCCACCGAGGTCTAGAGGATTTCGAAGGCCCAAAATCTCTAAGTTGAGCCAAAGAGTGCCGAACCACTTTTTCGCATCAACAGTAAGTGTTTGTTTATACCAAAATAGACAGCCAACAAGAACAAGACACGTGGACAAAATCGAGCTTGGTCATGGTTTCCTTCGGCACCTAACCTACCAATCCTTCCAGTAGGGCAACCCCCTCTCCAGGACACGTGGCATGCTCATAATCAACATCCACAGTCCCACATCGAAATTCTAAACAATATGCACACCTCCCAAGGTCTATAAAAGAGGACAACCATCCCAAAATGGAGGTAATCAGAACTAACGGCATACCAGCCTAACGATCTGTCAGTTTAATTTACTAAATCCTTTAAAAAAAATACTTCAGATATCCTCTAAACATACGATTTAAAATAATTTGTTGTATCATATATTTTGATTGGTGCATGTAGATAATTGTAACTTAGCCAAAATAAGGGGTGGGGAGAGGGCGTTGTACACGCAAAATGCATGTGTGGACACAATGGATAGAAATGATCATATCTTAAGGACAAATCATGTGGTTGAGCTTTTGTCTTCTTAATTGCTCTCCTATGCAACAAATGCATGAGATGTTAAGGGAGTGCAAATCGTACTGGTTTTCTCCTCCCAATTCAAGGATCAGATATATTTCATGGACGGAGAATAAAAAATAATTAATAAATATATACACGTGTTATCACATAAATGAATTGATCACACTAAATAATTGTACTGCATGATGTTTATTTCCAGTAAGTGTATATCAACAACACCATCCACCAAATATTCATCTAGAATTGATGGTAGAGACGTACATTCATCCACTGTTTATCCAAGGACTTGATCACTTGTTTGGTTTAGGGTTTGCAACATAGCCGTCATGGTAGAGTTCAAGGGCTATTGAAGTTGCTGCTACTCTCATGGCTACTGAGACTTTCGCTTCTTCAATGGCTTTACAAATTGCTTGTTTCACGCCTCTAGGTCGAGCGGAAATGCTATAATGAGGGGTTGAGGGCGCATATTTGTTGGATATGGATTGGCATTTCTTCTTGAGGTGATAAACAATCCTTCACAATAATACCCAATCCACCAATCTTGGGTTTGGTTCAGATTGGGCTATCGGGTTAATATTGAAAGCCTTAGACCCAACCCAAGTAGAGCAAAATGCCTACTCTCATTGGGACTAGCCCAAGAATTCATCATAGTTTTTATTTTAGTTTCTAAACAAATTCACCTTTTTATTCTGGAAAAAAAAACAACAAAATTTCAATTTTACACTCATTTCTTCTTCTTTTTTCCCAAATTAATCAGTTTGTAACTCGAAGTCGTTAAGAGAATTTACCCAAAATCCTGAGACCACC